ATATAAACCACTGCATATTAAAGTATATATATATATATATATATAAACCACTGCATATTAAAGTATATATATATATATATATATAAACCACTGCATATTAAAATATCAAATACAAATACCCTTACTTTTATAAAGTCGAACCATTTAACAAACTTGAAATTTAATATTTTCTTTAAAACGTTTTGTTCTAGAAATCACGAGTATACATATAATTTTAGTATCTAATAGTATTTAATTTTCTTTTATTCAAATTAATCTCACGATATCAGGAAAAGGCCTAACAGTAATAAAAAAAAAACAATACCGAAAGAAAACTTGCAAAAACATACTTAGCTATCTTATTAGTTATTACTCAGCAATCAACTATTCGCTGTAAACAACTTACTAAATAATTTACTTCAACTCCACTCAAACCTCTACTGTACAAACGTCGAGCTTCCAACTAATGACGCGCGAGTCTTAAATACAGAGACAAGAAATATCTTCTTTGTCCGCCGCGAACCTTAGCAGAACCAATTCGGATGATTTACAAAATACGTTATTAGCAATGAAACTGAAAGACTTCAGAATAAATCTCCATGGAAACGGTAATATCACTGTTGTTTATAAACATCACAAACAGACATTCGTAACTAATGTAAGGTATATACGTTTTTAATAAAATGCTGATGTGTTAAACATAAAAAATGTTACTTGGGGTGTGCCTTACTTTTCACACGACGTTTCAGATACAATGTTTGTTTGTGTGTTATTAAACTCAATGCTATACAATGGGCTATCTGTGCTATGCCTGATAAAATACATTTCTATAGCTTTACATAAAGGAAGACACATGCAGATATATAATGAAATTGCAACTGGACTTTTCAACCTGAACGTCATTTTACGATTACGTGGTCTAAACCACCACGTCAGAGACCTCTAGGGTTCAGTATAGCTGTCCCTAATTTTGAGCTACTGACCAGAGGGAAAGCAACCAGCCAGCAGCTCCTATCACCAAATGGGTTTTGTCCGACTAATTGAACTATTATAACGCTCCCACAGCTCAAAGGGCTTCACATTTTAAATCCAGGGCCATTCGATCCACAACCCGTGACATTAACCTGGCCATGCCTAGTGCTATAACAAAGAAACTGTGACATTGCCTTACCAAGAGCCTAAATGACAGATAAGAATAACCTATTAGAAAGTAAGTACTCTGACACTTCAAAAACAGAAATTGGTTTTCGTTGTGAAATAAGTAATAAATCAACTTGGTGCGCATATTACCAGAACTGAGATTATAAATACCAAGTTAAAAAAGGAAGGATACGCGATAACTATGTACAATAAAGTATCTTTCTTCATAATAGAGTCCTAAGTTCAACTTTCACACGACCCCAGTTTTCACTTATTCGGAAAAATTACGCTTTTGTGATAAATACAATAGTATTTATTTATATTTAAATGCATATTTAATTACTCACATACACGTTGGGTGATATATATATATATCAAAATTATATTTCGAAAACATTATATTAGTGAAGAACATTGGTATCTCACCGAGTGTGAATCTTCTTCTGACGTTCGAAAAGCCGCATGACTCCTCTCTAGCTACAGCAAAAGTGACTCTAAAACACACTTCACAACCACTGATATTGTGGCGCCACCTGCATGTCTGGCGTCAGTGAGTATCTGAAATTTCCGATAGGTGTCGAAGTGTCCTTTTAAGTGAAAGTAAAAGAACATAAGTGTAGCACATTGAACCTTGGGGGCGAAGAGTTAAAGCGGATTTATATACAACCCTCCTACTTATCCGAGTCAGTTCGTACGAAAGCCTGAATCATTCCAACCCATATTACCCTTACGGCAAGGTAACAACCGAACAGGTCTTTTGTTGTCTAGTAAACATAAGTTAGTGTCCTGGTGGAATTTCCCTCAGTGACATCTGCATTTTTATTTGACATTTACTTATACTGATTGGGGGGAAAACCGTTAGGTGTGACTTAAAGTCAAGGTGAGGGTGAAACGACAGAATACCTCATCAAGGAGGCAACTAAATGTTTATAATTGAAGTTTGTTTTTAACGTTTATCCTAAAAACAGTGTCTTATATATATATATATACATATACATACATATATATCCCTCAGCTTCAGAACCGGAATTATATTCACATTTCCTCACCAACAGTCTCCATAGAAACGAGTTAGGAGTTGTTTTTGGCGGAAAACGAGTAAAATTCTAGCCACCCACGCACTTATGAAAAAGTTTACGTGGTTATGAGTTAATCTAACTATTACTACCTGTTGTTTATTTCGCTGTAATGTCATTCCTTCAGTAAACGCAGTCGCTTATTTTATAAAAAAAAAAATACACAGCGAATTAATTTTAATTTAAATTACAACTCGGTTCGAAACATGGCCAAAATAAAGGACGACTCTTGGAGTTTAATCGCAGTACTGCTAGTCCTGTAAATGTGTAACAAGAGCTGAAGATAAAAGTTTGTTAGTTTTTGGAGGATGTAGACTAATAAACCAGTCAAGGCTGAAAAGTGAATCTATAAGGAAAGATTAAAATGATTGTTTGCTTTTTCCAGGCTGTACGATTCCCATGTTCTCGTCACCAAAGATGGTAAGTAGGCTGAACAGTAGATTTTTGAACTGATAGACTGTAATTTAAAATCAATCTTTTGCGCAAGGCGAGTGAATGAACTTGGTTCGACTAGTAAGACCTGTTCTGTTTATATCTCGAGCGGTTTCTTGGGTTCTGCCATAAGTAGCCTTCCAACAAGTGTGTGTATATATTTTCATCAGAGCAAAAGTAATATTTTAAATCCTACATTTAAAACATATATTAAACAAGTTAGCTAATTTTATGTAATATGAAAATTAGGGGAACAAAACTACTCATTTTGCTACAAACAAATCAAAAATATATTTTTAAAACTACTTTTTTTATTTCAGCAAAATTATAACAGATGTTCACGTACTATTTTATTGTTTCGATAGAATGAAACAAACATCGTCAACACAACCATACAATCATCATCAATATAAGCACACAATTATCATCAACACAACCATACAATCATCATCAATATAAGCACACAATCATCATGAACACAACCATACAATCATCATCAATATAACCACACACTCATCATGAACACAACCATACAATCATCATCAATATAACCACACAATTATCATCAACACAACCATACAATTATCATCAACACAAACACAAATATGGCTGTGTTGATGATGACTGTATGGTTGTGTTGATGATAATTGTTTGTTTATGTTGATGAAGACTTGATGATGATTGGATTGTGTGTTTTGCGTGGTTGTGATGATGATGACTGTACGGTTGTATTGATGTTTTGATGATGATTGCGTCGCAGTCTCATTGTTATACAACTACTGCTTGGTTAATTCGGCTTCCAAACCAATTCGTGAGAACTTTTCAGTTTCCGGATGATTATATCTCCAACTATTCTCTGGTAAAAACTTTATTTTAATACCTGTCAATAAAATTTTAAAGACAATTTTATTTATCAGATAGTCATGCATCCATCTGTTGCCTCAAGCTGATGGTTATGTATCCATCTGTTGCCTCAAGCTGATGGTTATGTATCCAACTGTTGCCTCAAGCTGATGGTTATGTATCCATCTGTTGCCTCAAGCTGATGGTCATGTATCCATCTGTTGCCTCAATCTGATGGTTATGTATCCATCTGTTGCCTCAATCTGATGGTTATGTATCCATCTGTTGCCTCAATCTGATGGTTATGTATCCAACTGTTGCCTCATGAAAACTTTGTTATTGTACCATAATCCTTAAGCAATTTTCAGTTTTCAGGTGATTACGTTTGGAAGCCGAATTAACCAAGCAGTAGTTGTATAACAATGAGACTGCGACGTTTGGAAGCCGAATTAACCAAGCAGTAGTTGTATAACCTAGCAACCCAACATCATTCAAAGCTCGCCGCCTGATGATGCTAAATATGCCAAACAAAACGTATTATTTTCCAAGTTTTTATCCACACATGTATTTGTTTGTTCTTAAAGGAAAATATTTTGCAGAATTGTGTAAAACTACTGCTTTTTAATTAATATTTTTTCATTATAAAGGTATTTATATTGTTACGTATCTGCTTAGTTGCTAATGTCTATTCTTTCCGAGGAACTTCAGCGATACAAATCCTTTCTTAATTAAACCAGTTTATTTTTCCTCGATACAACTTTGTAATACACAGAATTTCCAATCAGTACGTTAAACTTAACTACTTTTATAACACACGCTATAAATCACAGTGATTCACACACTTTACTTGACTCAATTATCTATATCTTCAATCCCGCTGGTTTTTCTCGCCAGGCTTATATACTAAAAAAAGAGGGCGTCTATCAATAACTCGGACATTTGCGGGGTTCCTCGATAATTCGAGAAACTCCAGCACGCATGCTTCCAGCGTCACGCGACTTCCGCTGTCGTAACAATATTCTTTAGGACCTATCCAGATACTTTGCGCAGATTTTTAGGCCATCAGGTGCAGACCAAGTTTTTATTTTATTTTGCTTTCGAATGAAACCCGAAATAAAATTGCTGAGTGAAATGTACAGTTTGTTAGTACCAATATTTCCCACACATTACGATATTGTCCAAATAATCTATCTCCATCCCTGCCGGACATTGTCCAAAAGTTCAATCACCTGGTTACACTTGTATCCGGCTAACCTCGTGAAGACATTAGTGCCTTCATGAGAAACATAACAATTATGAGTGAACAAAGCAGAGTTGTAACTCTGATCGTCGTTAGGTGTCCGAGTCATCGGTGAAATTTCCATGCAAAGGTCGCTGAACTCACCTAGTTCCTATGTTTTCATGAACTTAGGTCAAAGCAAAAGCCAATAATATATATATAATGAATATCAAAGATGTAAAGTAAATAGTGGAAAAACATGCGGATATTCAACACCATTTGCAGCGTTTTTTAATGAAACATGCGCAACAAACAAGAAGATTCCGTCACCAACAATCTCTCTTTCATAAAAGTCCCAGTTGTGAGCAACTTGTTGGTAGAATTTCAAAGATTGATAGAGAAATTGCGAGAATAGTCTCTAATCTAGCTCTGTGCGAGTATTGACAGACGTAATAAGGAGAAGTGACAATTTTGAAAATTATCATCATTTGTTGATGGATAGGTCCATTTAAGTGGCGTTTAGTTTGACTAACCTAGATGGCGTTGCAGATTCAACGCACTAGTAATGAAGTGTGTGTAATGTACGTTTCTTTACATAAATAAACGTGTTTGTTTATTTATTTTAAGCGTAAAGCAAGCTGCACAATGGGCTATGTGCGCTGCGCCCACCGCAGTGGTTGAACCCCGAATTTTAGCGTTGTAAGCCCTCAAACGTAGATATATCACGAACTGGAATAATAAAAAAAGTCAGTACTCGGGCCTCACACACAAAGTTTCTGGAAGACTTAGCTTGGGCTGTCCGTACACAAGCCCTAAACGAGATGCCACCTGGCATGCAAAGTTAAAACCAACACCAAGTGTCCGTTCTCCGGTTGGACAGTGGTAAGTTTACGAACTTACAACGCTAAAATCAAAGGGTTCGATTTCCCCACAGTGGACACAGCAGATAGCCCAATATGGCTTTGCTCTAAAACAAAATAAATGAGACACAGTGTCTAAGTATTGATTGTTACATCTGTTTTAAAATTCATGAAGTTCCCACTCAGATAATAACCTTTGCTTGACGTGGAGCGTTTTAAGGATTAAAGTATACATTCTGACCAAGAGCATATCGGAGCCAAACCCTTGGCACTTGTTTTATTATCGTATTTTGTCGAATTTAAAAGGTTTGTGTAAATTGGTTTTGTATTATATATATATATATCATAAAACTTGAATGTCCGCAACAAAATTCAGCATAATATATGTGGTATATTTTTGTAGCGTTTTCCTACGCTAATAAGTTAATATTGTCTAGTATATTTTTGTAGCGTTTTCCTACGCTAATAAGTTAATATTGTCTAGTATATTTTTGTAGCGTTTTCCTACGCTAATAAGTTAATATTGTCTAGTATATTTTTGTAGCGTTTTCCTACGCTAATAAGTTAATATTGTCTAAAATGAATAAAATCACGAAGATCACACAGAAGAGTTTGTTTGTTTGTTTTGAATTTCGCGCAAAGCTACACGAGGGTTATCTCCTGGGCTACTCCTTTACCAACGAATAGTGGGATTGATCGTCACTTAATAACGCCCCCACGGCTGAAATGGCGAGCATCATTTGGTGGGACTGGAATTCGAACCCGCGACCCGCAGAATGCGAGTCGAGCTCCTTAACCATCTGGCCATGCCGGGCCTACACACAGAAGAGAATAAAAACGTGAAATAATTACAGATAAAAGCATAAAGAAAAACAAAGTTAAGTAATCAAAACCTTATATTTCTGTCTTTTAGTAATCATTTCCGGCAATTAATAAGTCTTGAATTGCGTAACTTCTGCACTGAACAAAGGAATTGTTTATTTAACAAAACTTTGATAAAGTTCTACTTATGTAGAAACAGCATCAATGCCATTTTCGCTCGAGAAAAGGCTTAAACATGCGTGATAAGTAGGCATTTAAAATTTATGGGTAAAACATTTAACCTGGACAGATTTTTTTTTAAGGTCAATT